CGCGAGGACGCCGTGTTTTCGGTGGTGAGAGAGGGATGGATGCGTGGCCCTCATCTCTGCTACTGCCCATCATCTGCCTGCCCACCCCTTCAGAAAATTCACTGTTGCTCCTTCACTCCTCCTACATCACGCAGGGCACTGCACGATGGAAAGCAAATGTTCCACCTGATTTATTTCATCATTTCATAAGCAATGTTAAGCTTGCAATTTCCCATGGTCACGGCTGATTATTATTAGCAACAAAGCGTCACTTCACGTTAGACCCCAAATTTTACCAGCCTCATAAGTGGTGCATCCCAGCAGGAAGAGTTGTGAGAGTGAGCAATGGATGTGTGCACGTGTGGATGTGTGCACTTGTGTACGTGTGTATTCCCCCGTCAACCCATTGTTCTGCCACAAAATATAAGAAGAAAAACCTTCTTCCCCTCCAGTACATGTACATATGTACACACACACCTCTCTACTCTACGTAGGTCCCAGCCCATAAACACAAAGCCCAACACGCACATGTCTGATGGGGTGGGTGACTGTAGAGACAGTCCTCGGTCTGATTTCCGAAGCACTACGTTATTCAGGAACTCAAGCTGTGGTCATCATAGCCCTGATGTTCATCACCTGAAGTGCAATTTACATTTGATCAATAACGAACCAGTTGTTTCAAAAGGAAAACTAACTCCGTGCTAGAGATGGTCTTTAAAACCCTAAAGCGGAACAAAGAGCTCACTAACACGGCGCACAAACTCTCTTGCAGGGGAGAAACTGGTTGCAGGACAAACTGACTGTGCCCAGATGACCAAGGTTAAATATGATCATAAAAAATAATAATCAAAACAATGTTAATAAAACCACCCCCACTTTACCCACCAGTCCCAAGAGACGAGCGAGGATTGCAGCGTGCTCACCAGTTCAACCGCTCGTCCCCAGGGCAGACCAGGAGCTGGGCAAGAGCCACCAGCAGTAGCAGGGGAAACTGAGGCTAGAAGAGCCAGTGGCCAGGATGTAGAAGGTCACCTTGACACATCAGGCTGTGCTCCACAAGAAGTCACAGACAACATAGGATGCAGCAACAGGAAACCATCTTCTGTGGTCCAGGGAGGCTGGGGGCGCGGGCAGCCTCGCGGGGACGGCAGAGGTGTCCACCCTGACAAGGTCCAGCTCTTTGCCAAGAGGTCCCAGCTTCGGCACGGACCTCTGCCCGTCACTTTGTGGGAAAGCGATGCCATGGTGACTGGGTACAGAAGGCCACTGGGACAGATTTTATTAGAAGCAAGGAATAAAACCAGGGATCTTTTTTTTTTTTTTTTCTCCTGATTTTAAAACAGGGCTATAGATCTCTTTTGCAGAAAGGAACATGCCATTTATTTCCACTCCTTCTAGGAATCTCAACTATTGTACGCTTATTAAAAGAAACCCATAAAATATGTCTCCCAGTGTCTTTAACACATGCTTTAAAAGAAGCCCCTAAACTCTAACAAATGGCATTATTTTTCTCAGTAAGCACCTAAGAGAACGGGCTGATCCAGCACACGTTACATCTGCTTCTCCCTGGAAAGTCTCCGCTTTTCTACGTGCTCCCTGTACACTCCATCGCTCCGGATCTCCTGAGTACCTGCATTTTACAGCAAGAGACAACTTGGCCAAACACAGACATCACAGACCAATTTGCTGAGTGACAAGGAGCATAAACCCACCCAGATGCACCCCGAAAGAGATGCTGTCCCTTCCCGGGATGCACGGGTACAGGTACCGCTGGCAAGCAACACCCTGCTTTAAAAGTAAGGAAAGGTTTACCCAAAAGGCTGAGCAATCTCTACTGCACAAATACATATCTTACAGGGCCAGGTGCTAATCTGGCTTACACCAGCACATATCCCAAATAATTTTAGTGAATTCTGTGAATTTCCTCCACTGGTGAAAAGAGGATGAGACTTTGCTGCCATGGTGCAGAGGACTAAATAGAGCAACTTCCAAACACTCCTTGAGATGAAAATGCCTGACTTTGGATTCTCATTTTGCTGCAAAGTATCTCAAGCGTAAACCTATTTTTCAGGAAGATTAAAACTCAGTGCATTGAATTCCTTTTTTTTTTCCCCTTAAAAAAAAAAAAAGCAAGTTTCTTAGAAAATCACCATTTAAGCTATGGGGTAAAATAAACATTTTAATGAGCTATTCAGAAAAGGTGCTTGTGCAGTGGTACAGAAGAATATGCAGTGCAATCACAGTAATTCACCTTCCATGTAACACAAACCCTTTCAGGAATCTGAAAAACACAACTAAAGGATTGAGCTCTGCAAGTCTGAAAAGCACCCGTTAGACACGTAAAGGTGTTGCTGATCTAAGAAAATGTTACAATTTTTGCTCGCTGTTGTCGAAAAGCCGTGTTACATTTTTGCCTAGAATCTGCAGCCACCTACCTGCAACAGATTCTCCATCAGGAGCACAAGTAGGCAGCTTTTACAAAGGGTTGTACATAACAATTACACAAGCAATCCACAAAACTTCTCAGAGACAACCACCCCCCCAAAGGATGCATTTATATAGAAACTCCAAAAATACATATGCAAATGTCAATGCAAAACAGGATCACGATTACATCTGCAAACTGTGATCTCTCAGATTCCTCATTGCGGAAGTTTTTCTTTTCCGATGGTCAACATCAAAGATCATTAGGATCCTCTAAAAAGCTCCGCCGCTCGCTCTCTCGGCCTCCAGCAAACACACCCATACATGTGTACGCACACACCAAATAAACTCGCTCTGTTAATGGAGCGAAGTTTCCATGGTGCAGTATCTATATGTGATGGGAATACGATACAGAGCCAACAGACATATTTAGTGTACACTGTCCTGGTAGTTACGGAAGAATTTTAATGTTGGTGAAATATCAGGGAAGTTGCATTTGCTCAGCTCTACCGTGCAGCAAAGCGTCTTAAAGAAATTTAACAATACGGGTAAGAAAAACAACAAAACAAAACACCTTCCACTTCTGCCCAAGTTTTCAAAGCCGCCTGCAAAGTTTTTATTCCGCTTCCTTTCCCTGGCAAGTCCCTTGCCGCAGCGCTGGTGGTGGGGGAGCTGGGTGTCACCGTGCCTGCCTCTCGCACACGCCTGTGCAAAGCCCCGACTGCTCCCAGGAAGGAGAGGACCCACGTTGGGCACGCGCTGTTGGCAAAGGCAAGGCACGGCGGTGGATGTGGATGCGTCTGTCTGTCCGCAGCTGCGCTCCATGTGGTCTAATTCATTTAACAGATTTACTTCTTTAAATGGGGTATCTGACAGGATTTTGCTAGCAAGATCCATAGCAGCTGATGCGCTCTAAATTCATTTAGCTAGCGGACCCGTTCCTCCGCCGCTATCTCCCGGAGAATTCTTTCGAGCAAGCTTCATTTCCACAGCCAGGTTATATCGATAAGGGAAAGAGCATCGACAAAGATGTCTCTAAGCCTTGCCATCTCACCTGCCTCCCCCCCAGGATAATTATATTACCAGCTTATACACATACACGCTCCCACCTACAGCCGCTTCCCTCACGGACCCGAAAGAAGGGAGAGGAGATGCTGAACAATGAAAGGAGCTTACGGCACAAAAAGTAGCACCGTCGGGGGTGGATCAGAAGGAGAGGGGGGAGACAGATAAGAGATCGCATTCGTAGTGCAAGGAATACACGGCTTCTGCCTTCGTTGGGAATCGTCCCGCCCTCGCAAACACCGACATAAAAGACACGCAGCATATTTCAAAACCAAAGAGAGATGGATTTACAAGGCAGGTTGATTTTATGATGACTTTTATTGAAAAGGTACGCTGGGTTTAGGCAGATGCCTTTTAGCGCCGGTAAGTTAGCACAGTGCCTAATTCAAGGAGACAGCCTGAGGAAGCAGCGCCGACAGGGGAGAGCGAGCCACAATGTCTCTATTACTCTCCTCGGCATCATAAAGGGGAGAAGAAAAATCGCGTCTGAAAGGGAGAGGAAGGAACGGTGCAGCAGTTTGGTTTTTTTTTTTAAATACAATAATAAGAACAACAACAATAACACAATTGTTTTCTAGGAAGAAAATTCAACAGAACAAAGGAGCCCACATGAAAAGCAAACCACTCGCTCCTTGGTCTACACATCTGGGTTTACAGGAAACTCTAATCTTAAGTTAGCGCTCTTCTTCGGGGTACCACACTGCTGCCCGCAGACCACTCCCCATCGTGGGTCACCTCCCAGCTCAGCAAACCTGGAAGCCTGCCCTTCCCGGAGGACAGCTCTGCCCCTCTGTGTTAGGCAACACCGCAAGGGACAAGGTGACGGGGGAGCAGGCAGTTACAGTCATGAGCACGTGGACTGGTTTCCTTCAGTCCTACCACCGATCTGGGAAAGGGCGCATCACCTTTCAACAGGCACCGAAGGGGGGAAACACTCAGAGAAAGCACACGGCGTATGTCGGGAAACAGCTTATTGAATTGTAAGAACGGATTTGGGTTTATGTCTCGAGGAGGGAGCTCAATGGCCAGAAATATTCTTACGTTAACCAGAGGAAAAGGTACTTTTGTCCTAACCTGAGGCACGGATCCTGAAGGTGATGCATTTGCTGTAACAACCGTGTGCATGAAGAAAAGGTCAGAAAAAAACACCTGAAGAAGCAGGGTGTACATGTTTGCTGCAAGCTCTGGGAAAGTTTCTGGCTACACACTCCAGCTGAATCCCTGTTTACACACGTATGTGTACCAGCACCTATAGCCTCCCACTGGGGCACAGATAGCTTTCTGCATGGTCAACATTGTCTCTCCAGCTGTGTGCTGGAAGACACGTTTCCTTCAAGAGCACCTCACCTTAAAATCTGTCAATGTCCATTTAGAAGAGATAAGGCAATACTGCATGGTTGAGCTTGGCAGGCAGGAAAGGCTGGTTTTCCTCTGCCGTCAGCAAGAACCACAGCACTGTGGGATAATCACCTGTTGAGTATCTCAACGAGGCGCAACTAAAGAAGAACCAACAAGTCAACGGAGGTACTTACATCTGTCACTTCGGTCTTCTGGACTGGATGAGGTCTCCCGGTCAGAAATGAGGCCAGAAACGGCAAAGATCTTCTTCCCCGTATCATCAACTTTGAGGGAGCCGGGGGAGCTGGAGGGGAGCTGCGTGCCAAACTCATACTCCTTCCCATCAGCGTCCGAGAAGCGTAGATGGGGTGAGTCAGTGTCATGGCAGTTTTTCAGTCGCTTGGCCGGTGTAAAGGCTGACTGGTAGCTCTCCCGGTCTTCAGTAGATGCAAAGGGGCGGAAAGCTCCAACGCCGCTGTGGTTCAACATACTGATTGGGGTGCAGTCCAGGTTGGGGGGTGCAAACTGGGGGTGGAGGTGAAGCAAGGACGGAGGAAAGTCACGGTTTGCAAACGCTCCGGGCACCCCACCTTGCCGGTGATACATGGAGGCAAAAGTATATGAGCCATTGGTAAAGGGAATATGCACGTCCTTATCTGCTGACACGGGGACCCCAAAAGGCCTTGGCTGCTGGCAGGGAATGGAAGCATCACGGCTGGCTTCGGCGGTGGAGGCGAGAACCATCAGTGCTGGGGAGGCCAGCGGGTTGGGGAGGTAGGGTGAGTTCTCCATCTTGAACGCTGCCCGGTGTAAGTCCATCGGAGTCTCTTTCCTCAGCAGGATCGCAAGCGGAACAATCTTCCCTGGAAGGAAAGTACAGCGATGCCTGGGAATGGAGCGGGGAAAATTACTGGAGCATCATCACCCTCCGAACGCTGCAAGGAAACAAAAAAGAGAAGAAAACACAGCCGGTTAGGTTTCTGTGTTCATCTCCCTGGGTCGCTCCAGCAGCAGGGTGGCCACATGTGTTACAACCCACCAGCCAGCGACGTGCCACTGTTCTCATTCAAGAAAATCAATAGACAACTTCACACACTAGTGGAATCGGCTCTGGCCCTCCAGGTTAAAGGGTATCATACAGTGCAGATGAATGAAAGGCAAAGCAAACGTAATAACACGCAGATTTAATAACCCACTAATAAACAAGGTTCGGTCTAAAATTAAGATAGTAACTCCAAATTATAATTGGAATTTTATATGGCCAAAGAGGCATGTACATATAATTGCAATAAACTTGAGAATGCCCACACATACACACACCACTAATTTGCCTGGGGGGGTGGTGGTGTGTGGAACCGACATAAAAATATTTATTGCACGTAGCTACCCAAATAACACAGCATACACGGTTATACTGTACACGACGCCTAAGACATACATAACAGACATGTATTTTCCCTCACTCTCACAGTATATATGTGTAGGTAAGCACTTGCACACACAGTACTTGATACCATCATATATATATATGTACACACCACTGGAATGTAGTAATGTGACTGCGTATGGGTGCGTGTGTGTAATACACAAACACCCAGGCGCGTGCGCGCACTCCCTGTTAGCCAAGGGAGAAGAGACTTCCCCAGTAAAATGCCTGGCGTCTCTGACAATATTTAAAATCATAATGGGTGCTTCTGCCATCTGATCTCTGCAAGCGTCTGCCTTTCGGGTCGGGGACAAGAGAGAATGGATCAGTAATTTTAGTTCCTAATGCACTCACTCTTAAGTAGATTTGTAAACTGCCCTGGATGTGCCATTAACATTTAGAGGAAAATGTTAACAAAATTTCTGCCTCGCATCTTGCTGAGCCTCCTAGGTTGGCTGCAGCCACCCAGCCAGCCACAACCCCTCCCAGGGTGAAAGAAGGGAAAATGCTCCTTTCTGTATCTCCCCCAGTTCACTCCGGCTTTTTGTGTCCTTATTTTCTCCCCCAATCAATCTCGTGTCTTTTCTTTTAAGCTTCCGCTGCCTGCCATTCAGGCCCCACAACCCAGCTTAAAATACAAGGACTATTTCTTTGAAACAATATACCAGCCGCTGGAGCTCAAAGGGCCAGAAAAATCATATAATAATAAAAAGCTGTTACAAATTGTGCCTCTTAAATCCAGAGGGTCAAACATCTCAAATAAAACTTAGTGAAAGAGTGTCTCCCTAATGGAGTGCCTTTTGTACTCCATGAATGAGGGAGCCTAGGTTAACAAAGTGTATGAAATCCAGTCTGTGGCTTTAATGTAGTTCAGCGATAACATTTCCTCTCTCCCATCCTGTACCCAGACGCTCCACTGACTGTTATTAATTGTGAAGACGAGTGGACATCATCTCTCCGCTTCCTCATCTGGCACCCATCCTTACAGACATCATTGCTAAATTACCAGATTATGTATCTCGCATTAACGGATTTGCTCTCTTCCAAATTTTAAATAACTTTCCCGTCGAGTTCTCGCCGCGGAGAGCGAGGGGGAGAGGGAGAGCGAGGGATGCCAAGGGCATCCTGGTCAGCGCCGCAGTCCTGGGTACACTCGCTCCCCTGCTTCACACGAGGCTGATCAAAAACTGAAGGTCAGGAAGCCGCGGCCACTGGCAAATTTGGAGTTGCCGGGGGCTTACGCAACCGTGTAAATATAGATATACACACACATGATTATACATCTAAAGAGATGCATGCAAATAAGCCACCGTTCTCAGAAATAAACAGTCATTAACATGGAAGTGAAACCGAGCAATCACGGGAAAACATGGATTTCCAGGGGAAAAAAAAGCAACCGCCTCTGCCTCCTTTTCTATTTTCACTTGTGCTATCACCCCATTACGTTAAATGTATTTCATAAATTAGTAACCTGGCCGCAACGCTTGACACTCCTGTAGGATACTGTGAATCACTACGGCCGTTTATTCGTTTGCAAACTTCATTACACTGGGAATAAATCAACACATTACAATATCTCAGCCAGCCAAATTTAATTTTTTTTCATCTCCCACTTCCTTTTTCGTTCTCTCTTGTTCCCTTCTCGCCCAGCACCTCCCCACCCCCAGCAACGCGGACAGATTAGACTGCGGCGGACCAGTCATTATGAAAATCTATCGTTAATACACTCCCAATGTCAAAATGTCATAGGTTTAAATACAGAACCCAAAAATAAGAAAACTAACCGACCTTCTTAATTAAAAAAATATGGATTGCAGGGTAATCAGCTGGAGGGAACATTTGGGTGCCGGGAAGGCAGTGGGCACAGGCGGAGTGAGGAACTGCTACTTTTCTGCCTCTATGCTGATTTTTTTTAATTTAGCACCTCGCGCAAATCCAGATTAAAATAACTCCAGCTATTGATCCGAGCAGTGGAATTGACATTAATTTTAGTTCACTTCTCACTTTGCAAAGGGATCAATAGGAAGTAATAACAGCTGACATCCCCGCTGAAAGGAGGAGAAAAGACGGGCTAGAGACAGAAATCGAAAAGCAACCAAATAAATCAGCAGCTACTTTTCCACGGCATCAGACAAACTCCAAACAGATTGCAAAAAGTCTTTGTTGAATTAACTAAACAAGGAGTAGAGGGAGGGGGGGTGGAGATCAATCTATGAAGCTACATAAACTGTCTACCAAGTATGAAGGTTAGACGGACAGACTGAAAACAGTCTATTTTTTTTTACTATTTTTTTTTCATGGCTACCTATATGCATAGTTACCGGGTTTTAGAGCTACCCTGTTTAAGGTGTATACAAATTACCTGTGTAATCGTGTCTGTTACTAATAACAAGGCTAAACGCGCCACAACCAAGACAAATTGAATCAACAGCCTTTAGCTCTGAACCATAAAAAAAAAAATCTCTCACCAAGGAGCAAGTTGTAATCAGTTATCTCTGGCTCAGTTTTGGTTCCTCTGCTTACGAAGGTTGTAGCACTGTGCTGAATTAGTTAAGAGGAAAGTCTGATAAAAGTAGGAGAAGCCATGACAGAGCTGGATTTAGCAGGCATCACAAGCACCCAGCAAGTGGAGAAAACAGCAGTGACCACCGGTTATAAGCATAAAACCCACTTGCTAATCAGCCTGCAAAGAAACACACACATATGCAAGCACATGCACACACCATACGCAGCCACCAGATCTGCAAATCTTTTACTAAAATGCTGCTCAGAGTTCCTATTACTAAATCACCTCTCTGCTATCGATTAAAATAAATAAAACACACCACTCTGGTTTCTACAACAGGTTGCATTTTTGTGGTCTCTCAACCATTTCCAAATGCCAGAGATTAAAATAATGGGGCAAATTAACATTTTTCTCCCTCCAGAAACAAAGTTTTCTGGGGGAAAAAAAATTAATTAACAAGCTATGGGGGGAAAAAAAGATTAAAACAATAGGAAACCCAGGAAAATTGATGATGCATGTAAATTAGGAAAGACCCAGAAAAAAATCACAATTTTCATTTACATTAAAAAGTTTTTTCCCCATAAATGTCAAGTAGGAATTTAGAAATATGCTCTGCGCAGAAAAGCCAAAGATTATAAAACAAAATAATGCCAGCTGTTTGGGGATTTAAGTGCTCAAATGGATTATATATTTGAACCAAACTGGATTTCCTTATAATAAATAAAACAAATGCAAGCTCGAAAGCCAACAAAGGAGAGCTCTCATCACTGGATTAAGATACAAAGGAAAAACAGTTAATTTTTTTCCAACGCGTGAAATATGCCAACTGCAGCCGCACACCCGGGCAGCTGCTGTGAGAACCGGTTTAGGGGGAAAAGAGAAACAAAACAGGAGAGCGGGGAGCGGAGGAACCGGC